AATAATAATAATAATAATAATAATAATAATAATAATAATAATAATAATAATAATAATAATAATAATAATAATAATAATAATAATAATAATAATAATAATAATAATAATAATAATAATAATAATAATAATAATAATAATAATAATAATAATAATAATAATAATAATAATAATAATAATAATAATAATAATAATAATAATAATAATAATAATAATGATACAGTGTCAGTATCTTTCATGCGTCTGCTCATATGGATTGGCAGTATACAATGTGTTTTGGGGCTGCATCTGCTGGAGCTCATCTGGACTGTGTGTTGTGTGATGCCATCAATGCTGGTGATATTGGTGAGAAACAGTAAGCATTCGTATGTCGATGGCTCTGACCAAGCATTGGCAGCCAGACCAAAGTACCTGGCCAACAAGCAGGAAATTGCTTGGCAAGATGGTGCACCGATCAAATCAATATCATCTTTCGCTGATGGCCCCGAAGAAATGAGACTCGCTGTTTGCTCGTTGTCCAACGTCACCGATAACGGGTGTAGCATTGACTTAAGGAGCAGTGAAGGCCATTGCATTGGGAGCTGACCAAGTGAAGCTGTCCATGTCCGGAGAATCGGTCAGTTTCTATCATGATTTCGCGACCCCCCACACAAGTGACACGCATACATACAGCTTACGGAAAAAATCATGTCAGATGAGAATTTCTTCACTGATGAAGAGACAAAAGCCGCATGCGAGACCGCTCACGAGCAGGGTAAAGGTGTTTGCTCACATGCCAGGAGCATGAATTCGGTGAAGATGAGCGCTCGCTGGGGCGTGGACGTCATCTATCATGCCAGCTTTACGATGAAGAGACGCTGGACTTTCTCGAATCTAAGAAGGACCGTATTTGGGTTGCACCGGCTATTAATGTGAGGCTTCACTCTTGAGATGTCATGCCTTTCTGCTGATTTGATCTTGGACAGGTGATCACCGAGCTAGTAAGCGTACTGTAGGCAACGCTGCCGTTGTATTCATTCATCTATCTGTAGCTGACTATGGGTGAGCTTATCACACAGATAGAAAGAACGCACCAAACTTACTACCGGTACAGTTTTGCTTGGACTCCACATGGGACTTATGCGAGAGACCTCGAACACTTCGTGAACTTGTTCGGATATACTCCGATGGAAGCGATCATTGCGGCCACTGCTGTGCGTACAATTTATGGGCACGATGGATGTTGCACTCATTCATGACAAACAGCTCGGAGGCGACTGTGTGTCGAGACAAAGTTGTTCTGGGTTGCGCTGATGCAATTGCGACAGTGTTCATGCGGCCTCACGAGTTGGGCAAGGTGCTTCCTGGCTATTACGCCGACTTGATCGTACGTGTACTGTATTCTGCAACGCATATGGGCCTCAACGACAATGTCATACCAGTTGGTTGATGGCAATCCTCTTGACGATATCCGTATTCTTCAGGACAAGGAAAAGCTGCACTACATCTTGATCAATGGGCGCGTGCACAAGTGTATGTCTCGAAGTCAAAGTGCCGAGAGTCAGACTGACCAATTACGTCAGCTCATTCCGCTGCTTCCCCTGTTGCAGTTAAAGGTAACGATAGTGTATTAATGCCGAAAGGTTGGGATTTGTTGGAAAATTCGACGCTTGATCAAGCTGATCATTCGTTCAGGGCAACTTCACACGCCTCCTTTGACGCCGCCTAAGAAAATCATGTTAGCGCAATTGGTTTAGGGGTGTCCCGGAAAATTCTTCGAAACCTAGGGATATGATTCAGAGCGCAATGAACGTATGCATGCTCAGACCGTTTTCTCTGCGATATGATCTTTCGTGTCGAACACCTGACTTCATCCCGTGATCCAGTGTGTAAAGTTATCGTACTATCTGTTGTCATATTC